TCCTTCTTCTTCTTGTGCCATATCTGTTATCGGACGTTGGTGATCATGTTGGCGATCCTGTTTTTATCAGCAGCCGCATGAAAAAGTGCTGCTGAGTTTTGTCCACAACCTTCAAAAGCAGCTTTTTGTGGGTATTCTGGGAAGCAATAGCAAACTGAAGACAGCTCTGCTGAGGGTGGAGCAGATGACTATGGTGAAACAAGGAGATGGTGAATGGATTGGCTTCTTGGAATTCCTCTTTGGATAAGGAGAGGACCTGGGATCATATACAAGCATTCCATATAGCAGCTCCCCACGAAGAGACTGTAAAACAGTGGTCTCTGATGGATTTAGAGCTCCAGGAGCCAAGACAAAGCAAGTCTTTGCCAAAGCCACAGATATCATTTTTCCAAAATTACAATCAATCACTAGTTTTGCAAAGTTCCTGTCTTAATCATTTTTGCAAATTGCTTCAAATTCTGAACAATTTGAATATAAGAAATTATAAGAAATCTTCTTGGGGGAAAATGCTGTTGATTAGTAAAAAAACATATTAAGATGGGACTTTGAACCTTGGATACTACAGGAAACAGGAAAGAATTAAAGATTATAATTAAAGGAAAAGAGACCCACTAATACAGAATGGAGTAATACCAGATATGAACAAAAACTGTTTTCCTGGACAACCTGGTGATAAATCATATTTGCTGTAATGATTTGAAAAGGAAAATATGGCCACTGAGCAAACAGAGAAGGACAAATAATTCTGAGTGGTAGTGAAAAATGATATGATCAAAATTGCGATAGGAATATAAAGTTGCTTCTGAGCCAAGGAGTAAGTTTTAATATTGATGCAGACTGTCTGATGGTTTTTGGTTGGATCATCACTTAGTTTTGATTAAATATCTTACCTGGGATGTTAATTTGTTAATAATATTAATAAAACAAAAAAAATTAATAATCCCAAATATTCATGTAATGAATGTTAATTGAAATTAATGGTTAGAAGAATGGTTATATAAACTAATCTTCAACATTACCGTTGAAGATTTCCTTTGGGCAAATTATGTCTGTATATAGGGTTAATGTATGAGATCTCTGTGGGAAAGAATAAAATAAGAGTTTTGAAACTGAAAGAAATGGAAGCAGAATCTAGGCACCCTTAGGATGCAAATATTACAAGAACAGCATAAGCATGTACTGTAGTACTCTCTTCCCCAAAGATGCCTGACATACAGTATGTAGAATTGCCCTGGGGACTTTTCATAGCAGCATTCATTGAACAATATTGGCAATATGCACATTTCTGAATTCACAGTTCTTAGCACTTTTTATCTTTTGCTATTCATTTATTCTTGAATATATCTGTGGAACAGGAATTAGTTTCAAACAATTTAGATGATGAACAGTAAGTAGACATGTACACCAATGTTACTATTCTGTTGATTTTCTTCATGATGACACTTTATATCACCATTTTGATTTCTCCTGTGAAGCAAAAAAAAAATGTTGAATTCTGATAGTACTATCTTATATATGCCACTTCAGAGTAAGTCTCTGTAAGGACCCACCCCACTTTGCATCTTAAGAAGACAGAACTCTTGGAATAATTTTTCCAACAGGAATCCTTTATTAAGAGAAAATGGTTGCAGGCATGCTAGACAGGACTTGGGGTCCAAGCTCTCCCATTCAAGGTTTTAAGGGGTTCCCCAGTAGTCCCACCCAATCAACCCCCCTTCCAGTGATAGTTTCAAGTATCACAATTCCACCCCCTTTCTTCTTTCTTCCGTCTGAATGGAGACTTCAGGTAACTACATGAAAGGCAAGTATCCTGCTTTGTTATGATAAGGTTCTCTAGTGCTAACGCTTTGATGTTACAATAAACACACATTCAGCATTCAGCTCTTTGAAGTGTACTGAAGGAAGTGAGGGCCATAAAGCCCCTTTGTTCTCCCCCTTCTCTCCCTCTTATGGCAGAATCCAAAGAAGGCAGAATTGGGAGTTTCTATATTTGATAATTAAAGATGAAATATGATTGGATTCTGACAATTTAGATGATGAACAGTAAGTAGACATGTACACCAATGTTACTATTCTGTTGATTTTCTTCATGATGACACTTTATATCACCATTTTGATTTCTCCTGTGAAGCAAAAAAAAAATGTTGAATTCTGATAGTGCTATCTTATATATGCCACTTCAGAGTAAGTCTCACTGTAATCAATGGGACTTTGCCTGGATAAGAGGACACAGCATAGATCCGTGGTGGCGAACCACAGGTGGCATGCAGAGCCCACTCTGTGGGCATGCGCGCTATTGCCCCAGTCCTAGGCCTTCAGCTGGGTTTTATAAAACCTTTTCGCTTTAGGCTTCTGCCACCGTGTGCAAAAAAAAAGAAGGTTTAATCAATCAATTTCAACTTGCGGGGAAAAAAAGATCTCGCAAAGTTGGAATTGATTGAACTTTTTAGTCCCACCCAGTCTGTCATTATCACTGCAGCCCCACCCACTCAATGGGCCACACCCACCCAATGAGCCCCGCCCACCCAGCACACGATACATAAGTGGGTTTTAGGTTGCAATTTGGGCACTCGGTCTCTAAAAGGTTCGCCATCACTGGCATAGATCAACGTTTTGGTGCTATGTGAGAATTTTCAAGAAACCATGATGATGGATACTTTAGTATCAGGATATTATAAATATAAGAAATTCTAAGTTGGAGAAACAAGCTTCCTGTGTAGCACAAAAAGTGATTTCTCATTATAATTTTTGGAAAACATATATTTGTTAAGAATCTATTTATTGCAAATAATCGAAATCTATGCAGTACACATGTAAATACTTAAACTTTATATGGAATCAGAAAGGAGCCTATATATTTTTATAAGACTGTGCAGTTTATATTAGTATTATTGAAAAATATGCATGAGGAGTATGTTTAATATTTACATCCTTCTCAGAGCATTTAGTTTAGATTAGTTCAGAGTTTTCCAAGAACTGCAATGTGCCAAGACAAATTTTTGAAGTAATAAATCTGGCCTGTTTCACTTAGGTGTATTACTAGTGTGTACATTTCTGCAATCATTGTTTCCTAACTTATTGTAAGATTTGGGATAGTTTGGCAATATCATTTTCTCATAATACATCCTGGAAAAAGAAAAAGCAAAATATTCAGGTTATTAGACTCTGCAAATTATATAAAATCCTTGTCAGAACTGAAGACTATTTATTCTAAAGGAGTATCAGTGTTTTACAATGCAGTTTTGCTGTGCTAGGGATTGTTAAACTTTGAGATCACATGGGAAGGATCCATACAATGGTTACTTTATATGCCAGTCTAATTGATAGAGTGGTGATATGAGCACATGTCATTCCAACAATATGCCCAGGAAGATATGAAATTTTATTCTGATGCCAAATGGAAATGTTGGAACAGCAAAAATACATCTAAATAAGAAAACTGCTGGATGGGTGATTATTTTATTTTATTTAATTCCCAGTGGTTAAATTGTAGCATAATATATGTAGCTCTTTAGTCTATTATCATAATTTGAAAAACAAATTAAATTCAAAAGAGGAACAAATGCAACAAGAGTAATTTATACAGATTTTATAGCACATTATATTGTATTTAAATATAATTTTGAGCTAGAGATTTTATTAACTTATACTAAAATATTTAGAAATTAGGTCCCTGCAGCATTTCTTCCTACTAATAGTGCTATGGTTTTTCTTCTATATTAATTACAGACTCTGTTGAGATAGGCAGCTATAGAAATCAAAGAAATAAAATTTAAAAAATAAAAAAATAATTTTTATGATTACCATGATCTGATGCAACTTGTAGAAATGGAACTAATGAAAAAGAACTCTTTCTACAATGTCTAATACCATTAATATCCTACTAGATGGTCAAACAAATTGTGATCAAATATTTATATAATTTGGAAGAAAAGCATGTAGAAATAGAGATTAAATATTCTTACCTTCCATCAATAATCGAAGATTCTTTTGGTAATAAATGCAATGATCACGTAAGAACCTCTGTCAATATGAAGACTAAATATGCCAAATCTGAAGCATGATACAAGGTTTACAAAAATCCTTCAGTATTTATTTTGGACATGCCTGATCTCCATATAACCCTGACGTCTCACAATATAACAAAACAAAACTAATTAAACAATACCATACAAGATAAATAAATAGGATGGAAATCCAGTCATCAATGCAAAACAAAAAATTTCATTCACCTAGCCCACAGGTTGGCAACCTGCAGCTCCGGAGCCGCATGTGGCTCTTTGAGCCTTCCCCTGCGGCTCTCAGCCTCCTCTGCCATTTGCAGAGAGAGACAGAGACAGAGAGAGGCACTTGCGCTTCCTTGCTTCCCTCTCTCCCTCTCTCTCCCTCTCTTTGTGTGTAAAAAAGTGTGGACTCACAGTGTTCTCCGAGGAGCTGAAAAACTTATTGGGCTGAGCTCCTCCCTTTGCTGTGTCTCTGCAGGAAGCAGGAAACATGAAGGGCAGGAGAGAGCTAGCTAGCCTAGCTATGATGACTCAGGAATTCTGGGAGTTGAAGTCCATGAGTCATAAAAGAGCCGAGGTTGCCTACCCCTGAGTTTGTTGGAGAACAGCTTGAAGTCAGCTTGCCAGGTAAGCAGAAGATTGGAGAGAGGGAGAGAGAGGGGGGAGAGAGAGAGAGGGAGAGAAAAAGAGAGAGAGAGAGAGGGAGAGAAAGGGAGAGACACACAGAGAGAGACAGAGACCCTTCTGACATCTAAAATGAAGATAATTCTGCATATATCCTTTTTTACCTTTATCACACACACACACACACACACACACACACACACACACACACTTATAATAAAGGTAAAAAGGATATATGCAGTGTTAGCTTCATTTTAGATATCAAAAGGGTTTTGCAGCTCCCAGTGTTTTGCTTTTGGTGGGAAATGGGTCCAAGTGGCTCTTTGAGTGTTTTGGGTTGCCTACCCCTGACCCAGCCCAAGACCTAGGAGGACAGCCAAGTCTTTAAGGCCTTTCAGAATGCTATCAAATGATAGCCACACAGAACTTCGGAGACATCCTATCCCACAGGACAGATGCCTTGTCTTAAATTAACCTAAAATTAGTTTATAGGATATCTTTGATTCCTCGACCAAAATGTATTGATATGTTATGATATGATTGCCTTATTCCTTAAGCCATAGTGCCTTAACCCACTGTGTTAATCGTTGTATAAAGGTCCCCAAGCTCACAAAAATGCATTCAAAAATTACAGACTGTTTAACTGAAATATATATAAGAAATGCTATTTCATTTTGTTAATAATATCAATCAATTATAGTTCGAATAAATGAAATAAAAAGCATGAAACAAAAATATAAATATTAGTCGTATCAGACACTGAATTTTAACATATTAGTTTATTTTAATAGGAATTAGAGCAGTTAATTAGCACATGGATAGAAATTCAAGTATGTTTATAAATAAATTTTTGGAACATTTATTGTTTAATGTTGATGATTATGGATACAAAAACTAAACATATTAAAATATCCATTTGATTAACCTGTTTATTTGGTCCAATTTTAACATTTCAAGGTTTGTTTGAACAAGCATCTCCTTGTATTCATTCATCAGTTTTAGAAACTCTTCAATAGGTCTACAAAATGAAAAAGAGTGAAATATAATTAACCATTTAGCTTTTTAGCTGTGAAAAACTCTTGTGTTTTAAATACAATACTACGGTAACTTCTTTTCTGTCATTTCATCAAGAGTAAAATTTCCTTGGATTCAACCCAAACATAATAAAAGAACATTTGATTGAAGGTCACACTATATTATTTTCACAAGCATTAACTATAAAATGTATTTTGGGTATATAGCAAGATATATACAAAATATGTACCAGATAGTTTCTTCAGAAGTTGGAATGTAGCTAACCATATCTTCAGTGTTTTCTTCTTGTTGGGCATCTAAAAAATTAGAAATATGTAGATCAGTAACATCTAGCTAAGTAAATTGCAGGGCACAATGTGCATGGTGACTTCCAGACCAGTGCTATTCCTGTAGACTAGAGGGAAGCCCTTTGTCATTATTTGTTTAAACCCCTTGTAACCTATTCCTTCCAACAGTCATCAACACATTCAATTGATCAGCAAGAGATATATGCCAATGGAAAGGGAAAGAAATGCTATAGTCATAGTTTTCTTGGCAGACCTCACAGAATTCAAGGTTATTAAACTGATACAAAATCCATCTTCTGTGATACAAGTGATTTTAGAAATATTGAGATAATTCAGAGCAACATATTATATCAAGTGAAGGTATTTACATCATTATTAGCATATATCTTTAATCAGGTACATATATTCCATTTTTTCTAGACAAATCATATTTTGAACACAATTTTGTCAAGACATAAGATTTATGCAAATATTATGATTGTATCTGAGTGCAACTGACATGACAATAATACGTAAAATAGATTGTAATGAAATTAGCTGAGCTCAAGCTTAAGAATCTTTAGCTCAATTTTTTTTATTAAATTATTAAAAAGATAACATTATACATTAAGCAGAAAGGATTTATGCACTTGTCATAAAATATAACTAATAAGATCATATTTATTATTCCAATAAACAGTGAAGGTTTTCCATTTACTATCTGAATTAATAATATGAAGATTCACCCAAGCACTGAGCACTACCAATAAAAGGTATTATGAAAATAAAGCCTACTGAAAAATAATTATGGGGAGTATAAACTAGAGGTCACTTCTCATATGAATCAGGATTGTAGCCAAATATAACTTTTTCTGTCAGTACTATTGCAGAACTGATAAATAACTCCTAGTGTTACTAGTCACCTGTAATTTTTATTAATAACTAATGAATTAAAAATAATAAGTCCTTAAGACCAGTTTGTGAAGTGGTTAATGTTTTAAAAAAAAAAACAGAGAAGACCCAGATTCAAGACAAAACTGTGTCAAAAGCTTATTGAGTGATTCTGGGACTGTCACAGTATCGCAACATAATTATTTTACAGAATTGCTATGAAATAAATGGAAAGAAAAAAATTGTTTGGGCTCTTTGAGATCTGGGAAAGGAGAAACTCTTTTCTTTCAAGTAACAAGAAAAGCATTTAAACCAGTGGTTCTCAACCTTTCTAATGCCGTGACCCCATAATACAGTTCTCCATGCTGTGGTGACCCCCAACCACTTATACATCACCGGGTGCCAGGGGCGTGGCCAAAAAAGGGGAAAAAAATGGCAGACAGCCTTGTTTGGCGACCCCTGTGAAATAGTCATTCGACCCCAAATGGGGTCCCGACCCACAGGTTGAGAACCACTGATTTAAACAATAAACTCCTGAACTTGTTTTCTTTAAAAAAGTCTGTGAGAAAACTAGTTATTCAAGAAAACAAATATAATAAAAATATTTGTGTCATGTTTCAAACCAATAATCTTCTTTATATAAAGCAAAGACTGTAACTACTGTGCTATATTAGCAGTGCTGAAAAAGAGAGGTATAGAACTATTGTAGTGCATGGTAAGTACTATCTCATTTGAAATGGCAATACTCCTTCAAAGTAGTCACTGAGCCACTGAGGTTAATTTACATCAACCTGAAATGTTCTATTCCAAATGGGCAGGAATGCTCAAAGCAACAAACAGATAAACGTACTTCAGAAATGGAGCAAATTGAGTAGGGATTAATAGAGAATGATACTGTTTGCTTTGTCCACCATTCCAATGATTCCAATAGAGAATGATACTGTTTGCTTTGTCCACCATTCCAACCCTGGACCATGTAGATCAGGGCTTTTCAACTTTTTTACCGATTGTACCACTTTTAGGATATGGCAATATTCGAGTACCAGCTAGCAAGGTGTCAAAAACTTGATGACCCCAAAAAAAACCTATGCAAAGTTGCAATTGCACTGAAATGACTTATGACCATTTTTCACACTTATGGCCATTGCAGCATGCCCAGGGTCATGTGATTTATATTTGGATGCTTGGCAACTGATTCATATTTATAATGGTCAGTGTTCCAGGGTCATGTGATCCCCTTCTGCAACCTTTTGACAAGCAAAGTCAATGGCAGAGCTGCTGGTGGCCAAGTGCTAAGGTGGGACTTCCTTTCCTCCCTCCCTTCCCTGCCTCCCTTTTTCTCATTCCCATCTCCTTCTGAAGAAAGAATTTGAACCCCCCTCATATTTTCCCTCTTCCATATATTGATCAAACAAGGAAAGACCTCCAGAGACAGAAAACACAAGCTGCTGAGTGAACTAGCTTAAAAAGGCACATTCCCCTTTAAGAATTAGCTACTGGCTAGAAAGGAAAGTAAGGAGCGCAGCCTGCACTTAAGGAAGAAAAAAAATGTAAGTACTGGCTGCCAGCTAAGGCAACCTCCCAAAATGGCTCCATTCATAAGTAAAAGAATGCTACAGGAAAAATCCATTCAGGAGAAAAATACTTCAAAATCCCTTGCAGCAAAACTTACAGCTAACAACAGCAGAGCAATAGAAGCTAACACGAGACATCAGCCATCAGCCAAATAGAAATTGCCAAACACTCCTTAAGAACACAAAGCCCTCATTGCACAAATCCCAGAACTTCAAAGTCACAAAAGCACATAAGAATCCTTCCACTCTCCATCTCCTTCCCTCCTCCGTGCCTCACCTCCAGCCACTGCTGCCTTTTTTCATTCCTCTTGGAGGGTGACCCCTCCCCCGCTGCATTTCTTGCCTGTTTGCTGCTGCCAGCACAGGTGGCTGCCACAGCAGTTGTAGATCAGCTCATGGCCAGTCTGCTTGATCTCCTTTTCCCCCACCCTCCCCCCTCCTTCTTCTTCTCCTTCGGTGCAGCTGACTCTGCCTCTTCCCAAGGCTGCTGCTTTTTCTCTCTCTCCCTCTCCTGCCTAAAGTGCCTCCTTTTATAGCCTCTCCTGTTTACGTCTCCTCCTCCTTTCTCATGGGGGAGGGTGAGCCAGAAGTGAGCCTGTATCCTTTGCATCTCCAGAGGACTCTCTCACTGTAAGTCCTTGCCTGTGCTGGCTCTTTCCCTCCTCCACTACACTTGGCTAGGCAGGGCTGCGTACCACCTGCCACTCATTAATGTACCACAAGTGGTACGTGTACCACTGGTTGAAAAGCCCTGATGTAGATGAACCCTTAAGAAGAAAAAAAGAGCATCTAGGATAGAGTGGTGATATCATTTGGGTTGTCCTGTAATAGTAAGAATGACAATATTTCACTTAGCTTCCAAAAGGCACAGATTTCAGTCTTTTTTCTTGAAATATTTTTTTAGAAAGTTAAAATACAAAACTCCAAATTTTTTGATAAAAACAAAGAAAACACAAGACATTTAAAAAGTGCATTAAAACCACCAACAAACATACCCATATTATCCTTCCTATTTGAATACTGATAAATATATTACAATGATATTAATTTCCCAATCGTTGCAAAACAGCCTTCCCAAATTTTTAAACTACTAATTCTATTTGCAGATTATTACCTGTCATCTATCTATTAATGGTAAAATAGTTAAACAGGTAGAATAGTAATAAAAAAGCAAGATTAAAATGTCAAAACTCTCTGTCAACAAACTGTTATTGTAGTCAACTCATAGAAAGTTTACAGCTTATCTATCCCAAATCAGCCCAACAATTAACACTGATTTGTCCTTGATCCACCTTTGTTTCTTAATACTATCTCTTATCCATTGTTGTCTATTTAAATATAATAATATCATTCTCCAGTCTAACTTCCCAAAAGAATCCAAATGAAGTTGTTTGCCAGTTAAGTATGTTAATTCAATCCTCAATCTCCTTCAATCCCTTTGAGGAAAACCAATTTATCACTTCTCCACTCAATCAGTTTTCTACTGTTGTAAAAGAATGAAGGCTTTTACTTCAGGAAGGCATGTACAATCCACTCAGTTCTAGCTGAAAAATATATTCTTTGAAACAAAGAATGACTGAGCATCTAGAACAGCACAAAAACAACAGAATAAGGTTGCCTGTATTGAAGCTTATTCCAAAGAAATGGCTAACACAAGTATTAAAAGATGCCAATACTATAATACTGTATCAAATATAAGTACCGTAAATGCCGGCATATAAGACGACTTCCGCGAGCGCTGAAATCGGCGCCAAAGACGGGGGTCGTCTTATACGCCGAGTCGTCTTATACGCCGGAAATACTGGTAGTTTCCGGCGTATAAGACGACGTTCTAGGAATGCGGCCCGGCTATAAAGACGGGGGTCGTCTTATACGCCGGGTCGCCTAATACGGCGGCATATACGGTACCAGCTCATTGCAAGAAAGAAACCAACTAATGTACAACATGGTTGCAGTTATAACTGCATCATTATATCCATATAACCTTGGTTCAACAAAAACGGAAAAAAAGGCCAAAGAGCGCACTTCCAAAATAGAATATTGGGTTGTAAAATAATATTAGGATGCTGCAATCAGATGTAAGCAAGATGGAAAAGATGGAAGAAAAGAAGCTGAAGAACAAGAAGACGAAAGAATACTTGATCATGAAATACCACCTAGAAAGGGAGATTAAGGAAGCACTTGAAATAATAAAGAGCAAACAACAGCTATAGTCAGGAAGATCAGCAGATACAAAGCTTGTATTGTACACTATAGGCAGAATCTTCAATTTCAAATTAGTTTCTAGCAATACATAAATGCGGACAAGTACAATAAATCATTCAAGAGCTGACACCAGTCAAGAGTTGACATAAGAAAAAATAGTGAAGTTCTGAGTGCAGCTTTGGGACTACTCCAGAATTGCAACAATAATACAGCTTGGACGAAGGAGGTGGATAAAAATAAAAAAGAAGATGAAATTAAAAAACACAGAAATGGTACAGAAAAGGTCAAGGAAAATCTTGAATTGGTTAGCACCAGATGAAGATAAACTGCAGTTTTTCGTTGAAACATCTCAGACATGTC